TGAGCAACAGTATGGTTTCATGCCAAGAAAGAGCACCACAGATGCCATCTTTGCTTTAAGGATTCTGATGAAGTACAGAGAAGATCAGAAATAATTTCATTGTGTCTTTGTGGATTTAGAAATAGCATATGACAGGGTGCTGAGGGGAGGAGGTGTGGCATTTCATGAGGAAATCTGGAGTGGCAGAGAAGTATGTTAGACTGGTACAGGACATGTATGAGGACATCAGGACAGTGGTTAGATGTGCTGTAGGAGTGACAGATAGCTTCAAGTTGGAGGTGGGAGTGCATCAAGGATCGGCTCTGAGCCCCTTCGTGTTTGCTCTGGTGATGGACTGACTAACAGATGAGTTCAGACAGGAATCCCCATGAACTATGATGTTTGCAGATGACATTGTGATCTGTGGTGAGAACAGGGAACAAGTGGAAGAGAACTTGGAGAGGTGGAGGTATGCACTTGAAAGAAGAGGAATGAAAGTCAGCCGTAGTAAGACAGAGTACATGTGTGAATGAGAGGGAGGCCGGTGGAACAGTGAGACTACAAGGAGCAGAGGTCACAAAGGTGCAGGACTTCAAGTACTTGGGGTCCACTGTCCAGGAAAATGGGGAGTGTCGTAAAGAGGTGAAAAAGAGAGTCCAGGCAGGATGGAGTGGATGGAGAAAAGTTTCAGGAGTGATTTGCGACAAAAGGGTGTCAGCAAATGTCAAAGGAAAAGTTTACAAGACAGTTGTGAGACCAGCTATGTTGTATGTTCTGGAGACAGTGGCATAGACAAAAAGACAGGAGAAAGAACTGGAAGTGACAGAAATGAAGATGTTGAGGTTCTCCTTAGGAGTGACAAGGATAGATAAGATTAGGAATGAGATCATCAGAGGTACAGCACAGGTTGAACAACTGGAAGATAAAGTTAGGGAGGCCAGACTGAGATGGTTTGGACATGTACAGAGGAGGGACAGTGGGTATATTGGTAGAAGGATGTTAGAAATGCAGCTGCCAGGAAAAAAAAAACAAAGAGGAGATATATGGAAGAAGTTAGAGAGGACATGAAGGTAGTTGGAGTGAGGACAGAGGATGCAAAGGACAGAGTGAGATGGAGGAGGATGACTCGCTGTGACGACCCCTGAAGAGGGAAAAGTCTAAATAATAATAAGAAGAAGAAGATATAAATTTTATTCTGTATTTGACAGGGTTTTATTTTTTCTAATGTCAGAAAATCTCTTAGACTTATTTTACAACTTTGTAATTAGAGCTGGATTAAAGCAATAGTTCTTTTTTTTTTAAAGTGGTGTAATATGGAAAGATTATGAACTGTTAATACCTTACTTGTTGCAGATAGCTCTTTGAATTACCTTATTTTGGAAAAAAATAGTTTAATTCTGACCGAACGCAAGTTGATTCTGTCTTAAAACATCCATCCATCCATCCATCCATCCATTATCTTTACCCGCTTATTCCATTTTGGGTCACGGGGGTCGCCGGTGCCCATTTCCAGCAATCACTGTGCGAGGGGCGGGGTACACCCTGGACGGGTCGCAAGTCCATCACAGGGACACATAGAGACAAACGAGACAAACAACCATTCACTCTCTCACTCACACCTAGGGACAATTTAGAGTTACCAATCAGCCTAACATGCATGTTTTTGGTCTGTGGGAGGAAACCGGAATACCCGGAGAAAACCCATGCATGCACGGAGAGAACATACAAACTCCACCCAGAAAGGCCCCTGGACCGGGGTTTGAACCAAGGACCTGCTCACTGAGAGGCAGCAGCTCTACCAGTTGCGCCACCGTGCTGCCCTGTCTTAAAACAACTCTAGTTAAAAAAACAATAAAAAATAAAAATGATAACACTTCATCTGAATTCTATTTCATAAACTTTTATATATATCATGGTCAATTTAACATACACATTTTTCTGGCAGAACTATCCTCTGCAGACTGTTGTGAATATGTTTGGTAAAGTTGCTGGAACCTGAAACATGTACAGTAATCCTTATATTTGTGTTTATTTACATTCTGTCCCATTGCCAGCATCTAATTACTCCTTAGAGATGATAAAATGTGCTCCAGGCTGCACTGAAAGTGCTACAACAAGCTACAGATATTTGTACATCACAAAAGAAGCAACATAATTTTATGTAAATAACATTGTAGCATGACACTGATTGCAGTATAAGTTTTAAAATAAAGAGTTTGCACAAACTGCTATGGAGTTCTTGAAACTGGAGTTGCTATAAGACAGCAACAATCCACTTTGGTCTTGGCCCCATTCAGATTAACCATTAGCTCATCAAGAGTTAAACTCCATTTCTCCAAATTGAAGTTGTTAATAAAGGTCTGCAACGGGTAAGGTACAACCTTTCCACAGAGTCCCACCGTAAATGATCAGAATCAGAATAAGCTTTATTATCATTGTACCGAAATACAGTGATATTATGTTCGTACAGTCGTCCAAAAGATGGGCGGAGTGCACGTTGCTGCTGCTCTTAAGAGTGTGGCCTCTTATTCTTTTAGATAGAAAAAGGGAAAAGGCCATGAGGATGGACATTACAAAAAAGATCTCTTCACATGCATCCTCCTGAGACAATACGGAAAGACACATTAGCTTCTAAACTCCCCACGAATCCATGATGTATCCTGCCGCATGCGTCTCAGCGGGGCATGCGGGTTCTCCAGGACCCTGTCGCTTTGTGGAAAAAATGTTATCGATTGTGTTGAAAGTCCAACAGAAGTATTCCTTTAGTATGTTTAATTACAAAGTCTTTAAATCTTACTTACTGGTAGTGTTCCCAAAAATGTGGTTAATTAATAGTTAATTAATAGTTAATTAATAATTAGTAGTTAATTGGTGAGTGTGAATTGTGCCTCGGTGTGAGTGTGTGTGACTGGTTGTCTCTTTGTGGCCCTGTGATGGACTGGCATCCAGGGTGCACCCATCTTCTCACTCAATACATGCTGAAGGAAGATACAAGGGTTAGAAAATGGACGGAGGGTTTCCATACTTTCTTATTTCAGGTTTTAACCGTGAAGTTTTAAAAATAAAAATGCTTTCATCAGCACTTTCATAAACATCTTCTTTTTTTCCTCTCTGAAGGGTCCCAGTGCCGTACTCCTGTGCCCACCGTTCATCCCTGCTTCACCCCAAACCAAGAGCCAACAGTTCACAGACAAACACCGGACAGGCCTGTTCTCCTAAAGTGGACATTATGTTCATGAAGACTCATAAAACAGCCAGCAGCACCTTCCTCAACATACTTTTCCGCTTCGGAGAAAAACACAGGCTCAAATTTGCCTTCCCCGACAGCAGAAATGACTTTGACTATCCGTCCCTGTTCCAGCGCTCTTTTGTTAAAGACTACAAACCTGGAATGTGCTTCAACATCATCTGCAATCACATGCGTTTCAACGCCTCTGAAGTGGAGAAGGTGCTACCCACAGACACGTCCTACATCACCATTCTGCGAGACCCTGCAGAGCTTTTTGAGTCCTCATTCCACTATTTTGGTCGGTTGGTACCTTTTACCTGGAAGATACCAGGTGATGACAAGATGACAGAGTTCCTGCTCAACCCCCACAGCTACTTTGATCCAGAGGGCTTCAATTCTTTCTACCTCAAGAATCTGCTGTTCTTTGATTTTGGCCAGGACAACACTCTGAAGCTGGACGACCCACGGGTAGATGAAGGAATCAATTTAATCTCTGAGCGTTTTCAGCTGGTCATGTTGGTGGAATACTTTGAGGAATCACTGATCCTGCTCAAGGAAGAACTCTGCTGGGAGATGGAGGACTTGCTCTTCTTTAAGCTCAATGCCCGCAAGGGATCCACTGTGTCAAAACTCACCCCCAAGCTGAGGGCCAGGGCCCTTGAGTGGAACGCCATCGACTGGAAGCTATACCAGCATTTCAACCGGACATTTTGGAAGAAAGTCAACGCTTATGGACGGGAGCGCATGGCTGAGGACGTGGCAGAACTCAAGAAGAGAAACAAAGAGATGACATCGGTCTGCATTGAGGGGGGGCACGCTGTGGAAGCAGGCAGCATCCAGGAAACAGACTTGCAGCCCTGGCAGCCAATCGGAGAGAAGTCGATCATGGGCTATAACCTGAAGAAAAACATTGACAGTGCCCACCAGAAGTTGTGCCGTAAGATGTTGATGCCAGAGATTCAGTACCTGACAGAACTGGGTGTGAACCTGTGGATCACCAAGCTGTGGGGTCATGTTCGAAATATCATCAACTGGTGATGAGACATTTTAGCAGGAGCAGTCAAGTCACTCTTGAAAGACTGTATTAAGAAAAACAAGATTTCTGAGTGTGTGGTTTGTGTGTGGTTGGTGGAATGAGACTCACATTTCCTTTCATTGAGTTGAAAGCAGAGATTCTCTTGTGTTATATATGTAATGTACCTAAGGAGTGCTTAGGGAAGACAAGTGTTGATTTAACAATCTACAATACTGTGTTTTGAACTTAGTATTATTCACAAAGAGTCATTTTAAACGTTTAAAGTTTCTCATCGATTAGAGCATGTTTTCATTGAGAATGTGAGTGAAATTTAAAAATCACAACTAATTTGCGAGCTCTTTAAAGAAACCAAGCACAATCGTTTATTTTACCACATTTTTTACGTTGTTCGAAGACATAATTGTGGAAAATGTAGGTAAAATATGATTTAAAAAACGAGTGTACTTTTAAGTATTACATCCCAATTTTTTTGTCTGTAAAGCAAAACTGACATCTGAACAGAAACATTTAGAATAACAATTACTTTTAACTTGCCACAACACATACTTTCTTTTCTATTACTAAAATAGAAAAGTAATTTAAGGGATGACAAAGACAACAAGCCATAAAAAATGTATTGTGAACACTGTAAACTTTTTAACATTTCAAATTGAAATTATGATTGATAGCTATGCATTTTTTTTAGATGTCAAAGCTGTGGGAACTAAAAAGAGAAGCGTGTAATTGACTTTGGGAATCCAATTATTAAAAATGCAATATATAGTAATAACAATTAACAATTGGGAAAATCTGAGAGAATCAGGTAATAAAATTAAAAGCAAATACAACACAATAAAATTAAAAATACAGCTAATTTCCTTTAATATTTGATCTAGCAGCTGGTATTTGTGGAACTTTTTGCTGCATGATGTAATTTTGGCTTTTCCGGTGACTTTTGAAGTCTCAACCAATTTTTCTTTTTCTGCTGAACAACACACAATAATAATACATTTGGATTTGCACTATAAGCTAAAATTCAACCCCCTGATGTGTACATGAAATAGATTGTAGGGCTGCGATTTGACAGCGACTAACAGTGTTAAATGCTATTTTCATCAGTGTATGAAGTTTTGCCATCATGGAAAAAGGGATTCAAAGAGGAGGAAAAAAAAGATTTTTTTTATCGCTGTTATATTATTCTGCAACACTTGCCTTTTTCTGCATGTGTATCCATTGAATAAAATAGAATTTATTTTATTTATGCATTCAGCTCATTTCTGATGTCTGATCATCTACTGACTGATCTTCAACTGCTACTGACAATATTCTGAATGGAAATGTTTTTTAAATCAAAATTAAGTGAAATGTAATACTGGATGTGTTTAAACAATTTATAAAGCTCATTTTCTCGTTCCGTTACTCTAGTTAAATTTTTTTATATATATAAAACTACGGAGAAAGAATGCTCTGGCTCCATTTTGTTCAATCATATATAATTTTTTCCCCAAGTTTTTGAATGATGAACAATAGCTTTCATTGAAAGTATGACCGAAGTCATATTACCAGTCAGCAATGAATAATATATGAGGATTGTCCTGTTCTAATGACACAAGGTCACAGCTAATATACTAAGTGAAAGCAGTTTCATGATGGCCCATTCATTTCATTTTCTTTTTGTCTGTTTGAGATCAACTAGTAAAACTAAAATATTCACCATTTTTTAAATTAAACGGTATGAATTAGATGAACTTCTGTAAGGAAGCGTATTATGATGAAGGAACAGTTAGATTGTTGTGAGAACGAAATATTATTTCATAATAATAGGGGGGAATTAAAAAATTTAATCCACACTACATTTTTTAGACTGATAAAAGAAATAACAGGCACCAGTGAAGTTTGTGATGCCACATGAACACATTTTTATGATGTCAATGAGTTTTCTATGAGTAAACTCAGGTTCAAAGAAAGGATGCGTGCTTTAGGAGGAAGTTGTAAAATTTGTTTTAATTGGTAGGATTTATAGGTGAAAAAGGAAACCACTAAAAACATAATTCATGGCATCCATCCATCCATGAATCCATCCATCATTTTTTACCCGCTTTTTCCTTTTCGGGTCCCGGGGATCACTGGTGCCCATATGTCCAGCAGTCAGAGGCGGGGGCATGGAACAGGTAACAAGTCCATCACAGCAGTTCATGGTATGTGAGGCTAATATTATTCAAATTCACACACACAAACATACAATATTTAAAGCTTTAAGTCTGTTTTGCCAAAAAAAAAACCAATTACATATTTAGGTTTTTAATACAGAGGAAGATGCAACAACAGCTTTTCTAAAAAGCAAAAAAGTTAAGTGTTTTTACCATAATAACTCAGATGATCATGGGATGATGAAAAAAAATAAAGGGTTGATGAAAAAATGTAGGCTGGATTAGCTCTTTTTGGACCACTTTTTGATACATTTTCTTTAAAAAATCAATCTACAACAAAAATACAGGCATGACATGCATTAGTTAAAAAATCATAAGGTGCACAAGGTCTCAAAATTATTATTTTTAAATGTTATTGATTGGTTGAACGCGTACCACTTTCTGTCAGCACGATGGAGCTGAGAAAGCCTTAGGATAATTCAGTTCAGTTTATTTATATAGCGCCAAGTCACAACAGAAGTCATCTCAGGGCACTGAACAGAAACATTCATATAATAAGAAGTTAATAAAAACATTCAGAAGAATTTGAATATATTTTAAAATAACATGTTCTGTTGTTTTTTTATTTTAGCTTAAAGGATTAAAATAACATTGTCACCAAAATATTCACACATCATTTTAACCTTGTATAATACTTTATTATATTAAGAAATTGCGATTTGGGTTTCCAAATTAATTTGACTGTGTTTGGAACCTTTAACTCACAACATCTGTAATGAAGGTATGAATGTGACATAATTGGACCTAAGTGAATATTAACGTTTACAACGAATAGCTTATGAGTGTTTAATATTCATTCTACTTTTATTTATACAGGTTAGTTAATTTAGTTTATTTTTTGTTAATTAAATCATTAAATTACATTTATAATTATTGAATAACTGTTTATTATAAATAAACGCTAACATAATTTAGTGATGCGTCCCTAACACATGTAACTCATAAAATGTACATATGTTTTAACAGTTTTTGGTCTTTAACCAAAACATCCGCAGGAAGTGCGTCGGTGTTGTACTGAAAAACGTACCCCTCATCACAGGAAGTAGATTTCAGACAATTGTTTTTTTACACGAATAAAAGTAAAATTGAACCAAATGAATTGTGTGTTTCATTAATATTAAGGACACCATTATTTACCTTATTTATGATGACACATATGTTCAATGGACGTTTTATGGCAGACTGAGCGAGTTACATTTTTCAGCACAACACCGGCGGCTGGCAGCTGACAACAACTGAACTGGGATTTCGCCTGTATAGTTTTGTGCTAAATACTTTGTTACGAGATCGCTCAATAAGTAGTATCAAATATTGAGTCGGTTAAATTGTATTTTAGCATAAAGCTAGCCGTTATTTGGTAAGTTTTACTCGCTTTGACCGCTGTTGGTTTTGTAGGGTTAGCATTAGCGCAGAGCTAGCTGGTTAGCTAGCTGTGTAGAAGGTCGCTGTTGCTGCCTTAAACTAAGTTAACTTTACGTCTATCAATTATAGGACATTGATAGCTAAAATAGCAGCTGCCAGGACAGAGGATCGCCTTTAATGATGTCGCTGACAGAGGACGAGTGGCCCTGAGAACTTCGTATCCTGTCAAATGAGTTGGCGAAAATGACTTGCAAATCAACTAAAGTGGCCCCGAGTGTTGATTTTGACCACAGTTGCTCTGATAGCGTGGAGTATTTGACGCTAAATTTTGGCCCTTTTGAAACTGTTCATCGCTGGAGAAGACTTCCTCCCTGTGATGAGTTTGTTGGAGCAAGGTAACTCTGAGAGCTGAGAGCATTTGCACTTCCTGTTTGTTTACTCGTGTTTACCTTGAGCGTTGTTTATCCTCGCACAGGCGCAGCAAACACACTGTTGTGGCATACAGGGATGCCATATACGTCTTTGGAGGAGACAATGGGTGAGTGATTTTTTTATTTTATTTTTTTACTGGTTTGTCCTCTTTTGTACACCACATACAATTACAACCTTATGCCTTTTATCAGGAAGAACATGCTGAATGATTTGCTTCGTTTTGATGTGAAAGACTGCTCCTGGTGTCGGTAAGACTGCAGCAGTGTCAATAAAAACATATTATGACTGCAAAATTGGATTTAACACCTGTTTTATAATTTGTTTCCCAGAGCTTTCACTACTGGAACCCCACCTGCTCCCAGATATCACCACTCAGCTGTGGTCCATGGCAGCAGCATGTTTGTCTTTGGTATTTTAGTTTTGTTCTGACTTTGTAAAATTTCTAGTTATTTCTATAATCTGTAAACTGAAATGATGTGAAGTTTGACTGTCATATTTCAGGGGGCTACACTGGTGATATCTATTCAAATTCAAACCTGAAAAACAAAAATGACCTTTTTGAGTACAAGTTTGCGACAGGACAGTGGACTGAATGGAAAGTGGAAGGGAGGTATTGTATTTATGCTTTATTTATTTTTATTTTATGCTTACCACTTGGCAATCAAACTATTTTTGGTATGTGTACCCATAATTATCAATCCTGTGACTGTTTCAGTTTGCCAGTAGCCAGGTCTGCACATGGAGCTACAGTCTACAATGACAAGCTGTGGATATTCGCTGGCTATGATGGGAATGCCAGGTATGTTTGATCATGTATTCTTTTGGTCATATCTACACATTGGTTTCTGTGCTAAATCTGAACTTATTAATGTTTTACTTGTGTGTTCAGGCTGAATGACATGTGGACCATCAGTCTGCAGGATCGAGAACATGCATGCTGGGAAGAGGCCAGTTAAATTAATCTGCATATTTAAGAAGTAAATCAGTGAAGTAAATGTTCCAGAAAGAGTTAATAAATTAGTTTATTTCTTTTATGTTTTGGGTCCACCAGATTGATCAAAGTGGTGAGATTCCCCCATCTTGCTGCAACTTCCCTGTAGCTGTGTGCAGGGATAAGATGTTTGTGTTTTCCGGTCAGAGCGGTGCTAAGATCACTAATAACCTCTTCCAGTTTGAGTTCAAAGGCCATATGTGAGCAAATCTCTTCCCTACTAAGCCTTACTGTTAATAGGGTGTATATCTCCAAATGTTTCACAAAACTTGTTCATTAATTCTCAGGTGGACCCGCATCCCAACAGAACATTTACTGCGGGGCTCTCCTGCACCTCCCCAGAGACGTTACGGACACACCATGGTAGCCTTTGACCGCCACCTGTATGTATTCGGAGGCGCTGCTGACAACACTCTGCCCAATGAGCTGCACTGTTATGATGTGGACTCTCAGACCTGGGAGGTGATCCAACCCAGCTTTGATAGTGAGGTATGAACAAAATAAATTGGTTTTTAACAAAGCATGTGTTTGATGTTGACTTTCAAACCTTCTGCACCCCTTTAAACCTGTCATCCCCTTGTCTTTTATGTTACAGGGGATGTTTTGCCATTCTGAATATGTATCTAAATGTTTGTTAGTGCTTTTTAGGCAATGCTGATAAACACACCGTAACAGAAGCAGATTTTCTTCCATCTTCCCCCACTTCAGATGCCAAGTGGGAGGCTCTTCCATGCTGCAGCTGTGATTCAAGATGCCATGTACATCTTTGGGGGGACTGTAGATAACAATGTGCGCAGCGGGGAAATGTACAGATTCCAGGTTGGTGCAAATGATTAAACATAAGTAAAAAAAAAGAACTCAGCTTTACATGTTTTCTGTTATTTATTTTTTTTTAAATTCAGTTTGAAAAAGAGATTATAGATTTATGCTAAAATGTTTATTTTGCAGTTCTCAATCTACCCCAAATGCACCCTCCATGAGGATTATGGGAAACTGTGGGAAAACCGTCAGTTCTGTGATGTGGAGTTCATTCTGGGCGAGGTGTGTTTTTATTGTAAAATGTTTTTCTACATTTTCTAACTTAATAAAATTAAACAGGATATGCTCTGTAGTGAACCAGATAACCTCAAATCTACCAGATGGACAGAGACTGTTATTTTCATTGATCTGAATAAGTCTGAACCATCTGATGAACTTTCTTTCTTGAATTAATCAAGCAGAAAAGACAATTCTTTATAATCATTACTGTCTTACAAATGTTTTGATAATCAAATTGTGTTAGTTCACTCAATGCTTTACAGGTTGAAAAGAACTACTAATTTTTATTTTTACATAAACAGTAAGTAATGATCTTTGTTCCTCATTCAGAGAAGAAATCACCTGAATATGCCTTTCTTGATTTTCTGTCTGAAATGAGCAAGCTGTCGTAAGTATGTTAAAGGTTGGTTTTCGGTCAACTAAAATGTTTACCGAGAAAAATGTCATGTTTTACTATTTGAAAAGATTACAAAGTGTGAGACTCCACGAAGTCTGCTGTTGCTGCAATAATCTTTTCTGTATGTTGTAAACAATCCTTGACTTATGATAACATCTTACGTCACAAATCCACTCCTCTTTCTGGTCCTTCCACGAATCAGAAAGCTCTAAATTGAACAGGAAGTCGACCCAAATAAAATGTGGCAACTTCTCAGTTCATAGAGAAGGAAGAGAAGAATTCGTAGATTCCAGAATTCCAAGAGAATGAGAGTTCTGAGAGATGTTGGAATGAGAGCTGACAACAGGTCCGATAGTCCAACAGAATGAGCAGATTGAGAGTGCAGCCGGTTATGAAGAGTTTGGAGTTATGAAGAACCAGGGACGTTTGGGATTATAATTCTGTTTTGAGCTAATCAACGCACGACTTTCTGAAGGTTTGGTAGCTCTCGACGGAGACGCTGAAACGAGTCAGAAAGGAACTACATCCAACGCTGATTCATCGTCAACAGGTAGATGGTTCTATTTTGACCAAGTGTACCGTGAGAAGCTGAGGATCTGACGAAGCGTGCAATTTCTGGTTAAACAGATTAAACTTCCCTCACACAGTTCTCTGTAAGATAATCTCCTTTCACTCTAAAACCCACCTCTCTCTCATAAATCAGTACAGATATTTTAGAAATATCTTAAGCAAAGTCCTCAAATCACCGCCGAGTGATTTGAAGTTCATTTTCTGTGAAACTGTCTGTTATTATTTTCATATTTTGCCAAATTAATGTAAATGTTTGATGTTAAACTTTGATTCTGAAAATAAATGATTCCATTCATTTGATGGGTCAAAGATAAATAACGTCTCTTGTTTACATTTCTGTTAAATTCAATGCACGACATTTACAGTCAGAAAAATGAAGAACTCGTGAAAAGTATGCATAAATATATATCCATATATTTGTCATACAACAAGTGACACGTACCTCACGTGTCTCACTACAACTGGTGGCTCGTACGAATTTCATGAATGACTGTTTAATCCGTGTGTAAATTGATTTTACGTGTTGGCATGGTGAAAGAGTAACAGCTGATGAGCTGTGAATGTTACGCAGCGGCTGAGCTGCGCGCTTGGAGCTGCACTCTGCAACTAAACGCTGCATGTTTAAGCGTTGGGCTGGCAATGTTTTAAAAGCTGAAATTGTGTCATAAGTCTTGTGTAAGCTGAAATGGTACGTCTGTTATGTGTAACTAAGAGCTAATGAGCTGTGGAAGACGTTATTCTGTCTAAAAAGTACGAGGTTCTGCTTTAAGACCCGGCTGTGACCAGTTCGGTTCTGTTCAGTTTGAACGAGTATTTTGAACAGATGGATAAACGTTTTAAAAGCTGAGTGCCATCTCAGAACACAGTTAGAAGTTGTTTCGTTACAATTTTTAACAGAAAAAGTGCATTTTGATGGTTTAAAAGACGAAAAGTTGACGAACTATTTCAAGCTAAACCTAACTTGCTAGGTAGAGAAAACGCTTCCTGATTGGTTGAATTCGCTGTTGTGGAGCGCTTTCATTGGTTGAAGGTTTGACTGACGTGGCTACGTCACTTCCCCTCAAGCCTACGCTGCTGCCATTGGTGATTTCAGTCACGTGACCCGGATATGAAATTCATTTTCATAGGGAAATAAAATCTGCTTTTTAAAGCTGAAAAGTAACTTTAATGTGGTTTTGACACGCTGGTCAAGTGCTTCGAAGCCTGCTTGCTGAAATCTTGCTACGTTAGAGTTTAAAATTCGCCAAAAAACGATGTTTTTAAACAAAGCTAGCGATGCTAATTTTAAGCTAACAAGCTAACGACCGGAGCTTAAAACTACGCTTAAAATCACTAAATGAAGCTACTATCAGTCCCAAACACTCATGTTCAAGCTATAAAGTCTGATTGCAAAAACTTTTGCCACGTTTGTGTAAAAAATCCGTTCAGAAATGTTGATTTTGACCGAGTTTAGCCGAAGCTAACTTCAAGCTAAGCGGCTAACAACAGGATGTCAACCGAACGCCACAGGAAGTTATAGCACCCCTAGTGGACAACACAAAAAGTGACGGAGTTATAATTGTTGAGGAAATACTGACATCTCCTGGCGAGACGTGAGATCACAGATTTCACTTCGTTTTTTAGGTAAAGAGTGAAATTAAACGTCTTTTTATTTTTCTGTAAGGCAAATTCTGAGTTAACAAACTTCCTCAAAGCTGAATAAAACACTGTTATCTTACATTTTAAAAAGTAATAGGTATTTATGCAAAGAAGCATTCACCAAAAAGTTTATTTCACTGTTAATCCTTTAAAAATAAGGTACAAAAATAAACATTAACTTTTTAAAACAGATACAGTTACAAATATTCACAGAGTTGAACAGTTTACTCATTTTGCTTGAAGGATAATACACGTTTATTTGCAAAATCACTAAATAAGAGTAAATTTATCAGGAAAAAGAGATTTTCTGTTTAATTTACCACCTAAATAAAATATCTCTCTATTTTATTTTAAATAGAAGCTATACAGGAGCAAAGACAGTTTTTCTGAAGAAAGACTGAGTATTCCTCATCATCAAATTCTTTTCTCTTTTCACCCACCTGGGTTGATTGAGTAACTGTTTAAAATAGCAAATTCCTGGAACAGAACGGTTTAAAAAATGTTTTAAACTAATATTGCTGTGAGACTAAAAGAAAATTTGCAGGTTTATAAAAAATTCAGTGTTTTAGAGTAAGATACACAAAAAACAGCTTGGTACTCTAGGATCTGTGGAAAATAAGCACAAAAAGTAACACTGCCAAAAGAGCGTTTACTTAAATATTCATGAATTGGGGTAAAACCTGAGAAAGGTACCCACAGTTGAATAAGTGACTTATAACAGTACTTCTGTGTAAACCCAAAGCTAAAATAAGTGTGAAAACTCATTGACTTGAATACAAATATTTACCTGTAAAATATCTAAAGCTTGCAACTGTTCAAACAGATAAATTGCTACACAGTGAAAACATGACAGGTGTGTTAGAAAAAGATTTTGACCCAAAAGGAATTACGGACTGCTTGGAGAATGCGTTCGCGCTTCTCGGAGCGTCCGTACATCCATATATAATCCAGACAGAGCGCATGAACCCAAAAGAGTTAGTGGACAATCTGAAGGAGGTTGCAGAAAGTGTGACCTCTGCAGAAATCACAAAGTCCAGTTATGAAAAGCTGGCTAAAATTGCAATCTTGCTGAAAGAGTCATTCTATAAGGCTGTTGAGCAAACTGATTACCTCAAACAAAGGTTAGACAGTGAAATAGATTTGGCTCAAAAAACGGAAGAATACGTCCGTCAATTTAGAAATGAACACGAGGTCCTCATGACGAAACATTATGAACAGATGTTTCAGTTACAGCAAGATACAAGTACAGAAATTGCTTTGCTGAACAGCAAACTACAAGTACTTGAAGCATCACTATCGGAAGCAGAGGATAGAGAACAAGCGTACCAAGCCTCGCGTTCAGATAACGACGTGCTGAAAGCACAGTTACAGACCGCCTTGAAGGAGCTGGACGCTTGCAAAGCAGACAAGACGGAATCACTCCGACGATGGCTGACTTTAGTAAAAAAATATCAGACATCACAGGAGGACCTGAAAGCTTGTGAGGAGAATTTAGCTACAGCTATAAACCAGATTTCTGATATGGGGCGGCCTGGTCTGAGACTCAAAGACGAACAGTCTAAGGGTCCGAGACAGCCACAAACTCTCCAGTCAGATGCTGTTGCACCTCTTCCTCCTGACAACACGCCGTTACCCCCACCCCCACTATGGGCGGTAGGGACAGAACTGCACAAATATGTACCTCTTCCTCCTGACACCATGCCCCCACCCCCACCACCATCATGGGCGGTAGGGACAGAACAGCACCGATATGCACCTCTTCCTCCTTATCAGCCACCCCCACCCCCACCATGGGCGGTAGGAGTAGGCCTTGATCAATCTGCATCAATCACGCATGTGAGACCGTTGATACAGTCTCCTTCAATGGATGATTTGCAGAAAGTCTCAAAATATGTACAACGTTTCGTTCCCGGCCCTATGGGGTCAGCAGGAACAAAAGCGTATCTCAAAGATCTGGATTTCAGATTGAGAGCTTATCCTAATGCTACGGTAGAGGATAAAATCAGTCTGATACGACTCACTTCGGACAGAGAGGTGTTCACCTTCATCGAGCGTCTGCCAGATGCAACGAAGAGGGATTACAACCTTCTGTGTGAGGCTCTGATCAAAGAGTATGACTCTTGCACGGGACCTGCTGGTTTTCCAGCCGCTGACAAGGTCACGCAGGGCAAGAATGAACATCCAAAAGTTTATTACAAAAGAATCTTCCAAGCTTATTTTGGTAACAGAAATGAGACCGGAATGGAAGAAGATGATGGTTTTAAGTTTGTTTTCACCAAAAATCTCCACTCTGATTTTAAAAAATCAGTACAAATGATGGCAAATTTCAGAGAAAAATCCATCAGTGAGATTAAACAGTGTGCTGTGAATGTGTTTGAAGCATGTTCTCATGATAAGA